AAATCTTGACTTTCCCAGGTGTACTGGAAACACCATTTAATTATGACAAAAGAAACACCACCAGCAGAAAACGTAACCGGATGAGACCGGTTTGGCTGCATCCAAGGAGACCCACAAATAACTGGCTTCCCCACCCCTCCCCCACCCACCTCACTGTCCTGGACCTGGCTATAGACTAGGTTGGCCTTGAACTCACAGAGATCCTCCTGCCTCTGCCTCCTGAGTGGGGATTAAAGGTGTGTGCCGCAACTGACTTTTTTGGGGAGCGGTGTCATTTTTTCCCAACAGCATGACTGAAGTATCAGCTCTACCTACATCAGCCTACTACCGTTTTCTTTCCCAGGAGCTCAGACCCTTACCACCCCCTCACCTGAAATATATTACAGTTGTACCCTAATTCTGAGCCATCTCTTCCAGATGTATGGTTCTCAACTTGTGGGCCATGACCCCACAGGGGTCACATACCAGATATTTACATTGGGATCAGTAGCATAATTACAGCTGTGAAGTTTCAATAGAATTGTAAGGTTGGTGGCCACCACAACGTGAGGACTAGGAAGGTCCTAAGAAACACCTCCTCCCATGCAAAAACTCACCTGGGAGAATCAAACTGAGGCCCCCACCCCACCTCTCCTATATTCTCACCTCTCATTTCCCAAGAAGACCCACTGCTTAAAGGCTCTGGCTTCCAAAAGACACACCCTACAATGATGCCTTTTGTTTGTTTGGTTTGGTTTTGAGACAGGGTTTCTTTGTAGTTTTGGAGCCTGTCCTGAAACTAGCTCTTGTAGACCAGGCTAGCCTCAAACTCACAGAGATCCGCCTGCCTCTGCCTGCCTCTGCCTTCCGAGTGCTGGAATAAAAGGCATGCACCACCACCACTCAGCTTCCTACAATGTCGTCTTACAGTTATCAAGAGTATATGCACACACTGTTTGACACAAAAGCCTGGTTACAGCCTACAGTCATCCCGTCCTGCTTCATACCTCTGCCTCCAGTGTCACCTTAAATGTCTGCTTCCCAGATAAAGACCTCCCCAAGTTCTCAAGGCAAAAGCCCCAAGGGGGAAAATGATGAAAACTTGCATCCACTTCCTCCAGCAGCTCAGACCAAAGATCACTGCACCCTTAACCTCAGACTCCTTTCCCACTCAACTGGCTCTTACCCCATCTCTGAGCACAGGATGCTGGTTAGCTAAGTTATGTTAGGGAGACTCTGGAACAGTGAAAAGTCTCTTTCCCAAGGGAGCAAGTGGATGTGCTCCAGGACTCACTCGCCTGGAGAACAGGATGACATCGTGTACAGAAAGGAAGAGGCAGGTCTCGAAGGGCAGGAATAGGACCCCAAAGCTGAACCATGGTGTGGGCAGCACAGCAAGATGGCTGCACAGACCACCAGCTCCATTGAACGACACAGGAACTCTCGACTCAGATTTAGGGTTAAAACTGGACCCTGGCACAGTCCAGTTCTCTAAGGCAACAACGGGAGGGTAGGCTGCCCCAGGCTAAGTAGGGTTCTCTGAAGCCACTGGTGGAGACTGAAGACAGGCTCAGAATGTTCAGGGGATCACAGAAGGTCTGGTCTTCCAAATGCTGTCTTCTGGAAATAATGTGAAAACCAGACTGCCTTCTGACTGCCAGATGGGAGGTACTGGCCACATACTGAGCTGGACATGTGCACCTGCAGCCTGGACCCAAGTGGTCCTGGTAAAGAAGAGCCATCATGGCATCAGGCTCACGGTTCTCAAAGTGGGACCCAGGAGCAATCACTTGTTAAAATGCGCTCTCAAGGATCCCACCAGAACTGTAGAGTCACAAGTTTCAGGAAATGAGCCAGAACAAGAAACACGATGGGGAGAGGGGCTGTTTAAATGCTGTCTTCCAGCCATGGCATGGCCACTGTACTCCTAACGTTAAACTCACAGCAACTTCAGTTACCCACAGGAGACATGTACAAGATCAAGCCAGTCAATAATCCTAGCATGGGGGTGGGGAACTCACGAGGCTCCACCCCTAGCTGAGGAGCTACTGGCAACTGAGAGCTGTTGAGGATGGGGTGGCCCCTGGTACTTTGCCCATGCCCACACGGGAAGCACTAATCGGACTCAGGAGGTGATTTCTTAAAACAGGAGATTAAGGTAGAAGCTGTTGTTAGGGAGGAGGATACAGAGAGAGACTGAAAAGTTAGGAGTGGATTTCATCAAGATACAATAATATATATGGGGACTGGAGAGATGGCTCAGGGGGTAAGAGCACTGGCTGCTCTTTCAGAGGTCCTGTGTTCAAGTCCCAGCAACCACATGGTGGCTCACAACCAACTATAGTGCCTTCTGTCATGCAGGCACACACGCAAGCAGAATACTGTATACATAGTAAATAACTAATCTAAAACAAAAATAGTATATATGTATAAAACTGTCAAAGAAAAAATAAATGTGCAGCAGGGTTTTGTTTTGTTTTTTAAAGAAATTGCAGAGGGGGCTGAAGATGGACGTAGCTCCCTGGATGGAACTGCTTGTTTATCATGTACCAAGTACTGGGTTCAATTTCCAGTACTGCATAAAACTAGAAGGTCCATGCCTGTAGTCCCCACACTTGGGAGGTAGAAGCAGGAGAGTCAGAAAGTCAATCCTAGCACTCCAGGAGGCAAAGGAAGGCGAATCTGAGTTCGAGGCCAGCCTGGTCTACAAAGTGAGTTCCAGGACAGACAGGGATACACAGAGAAACCCTGTCTTGAAACACCCCCCCACACACACCAAAAAAAAAAAAAAGAAACTGAAGCCCATCCTTGGCTACCTAGTAAGTTTAAGGTAAGCATTCTTTGAGCCTTGTCTCAGAAAATAAAATTGCAGGACTAGATGTCCAGTAATGTTTTAGCCAGTCTTCCAGGGACACTCAGTGCCCCTGTGCTAGCTAGTCTGCGGCCTTGCAACCACTCCTTTGCTGCCCCCTTTCCTCCTGATAGAAGGAACATCTGGTAACTTCCTCCCTTGTCTCCCAAGACAGACAACTCTTGAAAGATCAAAGCTAGTACAAAAGAGGAAAACCAACCCAGAGAGAGTTTGGTGAAAAACGTCATTCCCTGCTACCATACAACCCAGTTTACAAGACCAGGGCCCTGCAGCCCCTCCAGGGTCCTCTCCGTCCCAGCCCCAGATTTCACCTGCAGTCCTCTAAAGCGGCAGACACTTCTCCAGCTTCCCGCAATCACTACTGGCTCCAGTTCAACAATGGTCCTGCCTCAGAGGTGCCCTCCAGAAGCTCCCATCACAGGATGGCCTCTGTCACAGCCCTCAATACAGACATGCACAGGACAGGATTCCCCTTCCAGTACCTGCTAGAGGAGAGCTAAGACCCATGGGAAATATTTGGTAACAATGAAGCCAAGTATTAGATACACTTGAAGTTTCACTATCATTACTAAGCATTTCGAAGTCTGAACACTAATTGAGAAAAAAAATTATTATAATTTTGAAAGCCACCAAAAAAAAAAAAAAAAGACTTAGCGAGGAGGCTGAACCACTAGCAGTAGGACAAAGAAAGTCTACGCCCTGGGGGGTGGTCAACAATGGTGAGTGGGCTGCAAACCTCTGAAAAGCTCCCTCATAACTTTCAGAGTAAAAGCTCCAGGTCCTCCCAGTGGGCAACCAAACCAAGCTTGACCACTACGAAGTTGCAAGAGCCTCTTTCTTTCCTAAAACACCAACCACAAGCCTCAACCAGGACATCTGTCTCAGCAAGGACATCTTTCTCGACTCCTTGCTGGGTGTGCAGTCACAAGGGCTTCCAGTCACTGTAAACCAAGTGTGGCATCTTGGGTGCTTGGGAAGTCCCGGAGCACAAGCTTTCAAGGTGTGTGCTCACACCGTTCTCGGGAGCACTACACTGCTTCACACTGCACGCACTGCACCATCCATCCTGGACAGACAAAGCAGAAGTTGACCCCAGGGAGAAAACCAGACGAGAAAACTAGAGGGCACCCCCCCAACTCACCTCTCCCATAAAATAAGAAAGAAGCCTTGCCAAGCACCAGCTGACAGGTAGAAAATGTCTCCCTGTTTGGAGATCCAGTCTCCACTCCCGGGAAAGTTTGAGCTTCCAAGAAGAATGTGGGGGAGAACCCAGAGCAGGGGCCTGACAGCCAAGCAACCCTGCCCTAAGGATCGAGATCTCTCGCGGGGCCTCAGATTTAATCAAAACACTGCCTCCACTAGTAGACAGAGCAAGTGTTTTATGGGGGAGGGGAGAGCAACTCCGGAGTGTTAAGAGAAGGAGTAGAGGGGCCTTGGCTGTAATTAACTCTTGCTAAGAAGCAGGGGAGACTGGATGCCTGATTGGCAGGGGGTTACCACAAAGGCCTCTCGTCTCTGAGATTGTACTATAGGGATGGAGTCAGGAGAGAGGATGGGGTGGGAAGAGATGGGTCTCCTTTTAGCAGACCTCCTCCGGAGCTGGGGAGAGGAGGTAGGAAGTGCCAGATCGGTGAGTTCTCCGGGAGGACGGACATTTAGACCGGAAAAGCCTGCGTGGGGGTTCCCAATACCGCTCCAGTACAACAGGCCGCTTGGCTTAGGAAACCTGGCACGCAAGAGTGCGAGGTTCAGAAACATTCACATAAACACATTCAAGGAAAACTATAACCCCGAGAGTCCCTTTCCTGCTCTGGACCTCAATTCCCCTCTATGTCTGGGAGGGGGACCACCACACAACCCTGGGGTAAACGAGCAAATGCTCTTTCAGGCCCGCCAAAGCTGACTTTACTCGGGGAGCCGGAAGGGCTGGCTGGGTCTGTCTTCTGGGTAAAGCTAGGCGGGGTGCTCTCGCTCAGGCTGTGGGCTCGGTAAGGAGGCGTTTAGGGAGCAGTAGCCAAAGAGACGGAGTCAGACCAGAGTGCGCGCCGGAGCCTAGACGCCAGGGTGCCAGAGCAAAGTTGACTCGTAGGGCTTGGTTAACGTGGCAGTGCCTCAGCTTCCCGTGCCCATCAGTAGCTTCGGGTCTTACCTTTTCTTTCTGGCCGGCTCCGGTCTCCTCGGAGGCACACTTGTTGAGCAGCTTTTTGCCTCCGCAGGTCGTCGGGCTCCAGGTGCGGCCGCCGGAGCACACGCCTCCCGGGGGATCCCCCGCAGCACCCGCACTCTCCACTTTGATAAGCCGGTGCTTCGGGGAGATGTAGCGCACCTCGGCTGGCGTGGCGGGCCGCCGCTCGCTGCTGCTGCGGTAGAGGTGCGGGGAACCGGAGGATGAGGACGAGGACGCGGCGGCGCCCGCCCCCGACGCCGCGCAGCAGCAACCCGCAGAGCCCGACGCCGCCGAGAAGGCTCTTTGGCTCCCTCCGGGCTCCCCGCCGCCGCCGCCGCAGTAGTCCAGGCGGCACATGGCGCGCAGTTTACGCAGCGACGAGCCCGGCCCGTTGTACGGGTCCTCGAAATCGCGCTCCTTCTGCGCGCGGTAGGCGCGGATGAGGTCACTCGTGCTGCCGCTGTCGTCGGGCAGAGAGCCCGACGAGGCCGAGAAGCAGGCGGCGGCCGACCCGCAGGACGCCGAGGAAGCCGAGCAGGCCTGCGGCACGGCCTGTGGGGGCTGCTCGCGCCGCTCGCCCCGGCGCCGCTGCTCGCGGTAGTCGGGCCTCGGCGGCTGCGGCGGACTCTTGGTCTTGCTGTTGCCCAAGCTGAAGTACTTGTTCAGCCACTTGGCCATGGCGAGAGGCCGCCTAGGGCCGCGGCGCGCGAGCCCCGTCCGCCGCCGCGGCCATTCGGGGGGCAGCGCTGCCGCCCAGTCCCGCAACGCCCCGGCCCCGGTGGGGGGCGTGCGGGGTCTCCGTCGCCAAGTTCAAGTTCTCGCAGCCGCCGCCTCCTGCTGGCCGCCGCCCGGCTCCGGCCGCTGCCGCACAGTCCTCCACCCGCGCTGCGCTCCGCCCGAGCTTCGGATCTCGCGCCCCTGACGGGCGCGTCTCATAGGGTCCCCGGCCTCAAAGAGCGGAAGGCCGGGCGCCCCCCGCCTCTCACGCCCGCACCGAGCGCGCCCCCCCGCGGAGCGCGCCCCTGCCCCGTGCGAGCCGCGACCGGCTGAGAGCTTCTCCAGTACGCCGGGGCAAGCCCGGCCCCGCCGTGGGTCGGAGAGCAAGCGAGCGATCGAGAGAGGCGGACTGCGCCCAGCGGAGCCCGCGCGCCCCTGCCCGTCCCGGCGGCGCCTGCTGCTACCGCTGCCGCCACCTCCCGAGCCGCCTCCCGAGCCGCCGCGTGTGTGACACTCGGCCGCCAGAGCCCGCCCTGCGCCGCGGCTCGGCTCCGTAGGCCCCGCCCCTTCCACCGAGGCCCCGCCCCCGCGTGCGGCCGGGAACCTCCCCAGCAGCACGAGCCAGCTCCTGCTGCTGCCTGGGCGCCAGCACCCGGGTCGTGCCCGAGGGATCCCGTCTCCTGCCACTTGGCCGGCCCTGCCTCCCTCGGACTGAGACTGTGGCTCTCCGAGGCCAAAACTGTCTGTGCAGTTCTCGGGGACCCGGGACCCGTGCACTCCAGGAATAGATGCCCAGCGTTGGGGTCGTCGGCTGAGTAGACCAACACACGGTTCCTCTAGTTGACAGAGAGGACCGTGCGGAGGAGATGCCCTTAACGAAAGAATCTGAGTCCCTTTTCTTTTTAAGGGGACAGAGACTCCGGTTCAGTTTTTCCGGCGCCGGGTCTTTGAAAGACTCTTTATGTTAATGAGCGTATTAGCAATCCAGATGACGGATGCAGACGCGATAGGCGGCTGGGACCCGGCGGGGCACCAATCCGGGAGCAAGGCTAAGGGGAGGTCGAAATGTTTGCTTACCTTTTCACCTTGCAGGAAGTGGGGCTTTAACCCTGTTCACTGCTAGCCTAGTGGAACCAGCTATGTAAACATTTAACGCTTAAGGTTGCAGGAGCTGGCGAGGCTCTATTTGATTCAGAGACAATTTTACAGATGGAGAAACTGAGTCCCCGAGGTAGATCACACTGATGGACTTAGATACCAGCCCTGGGTTCTGGTGGCTCCATAATGATGTGACTTAATGTGGTTATTTCCCAAATGTGAATAACCGAGACCAAAGGTAACTTTCCTTGGGGTCTACTCTCAGAGAAGGTAAACATGATCCTTGCCAAGACCAAAATTCTTACCTGAAAATAAGGCACCTGCCTTGTAAACCTTAATTCTATTTGGAATTTGGCTGGGCACCACCTCTCCCCACATAGCTTAGGGCTAAGATGTGCGTCCCTGGGAGCTGAGACATTCCTTAAGAGTGCTGATTTGCCAAAGTAGCCCTCTGTACCCATAATCTCCATCTGTCATCTGGACATTATGAGTCTGGCACACTGTCCGGTGTCTTGTAGGAGTAGTCCTCTATTAAAGTAGGCAGCAAATCCAGGAAGGTGCTGGAGTTAAAGATCAGGCTCCCATCTTGAGACTGCGGGACCTGGTGGGCAACAGTGTCATCTCTTCCAGGCTCTCCCTGGCTCTACCCAGGCTCAGGCCTGAGACCACAGTGAAGAACGGCCAGGCCCAGCTCTCAGAAGGCTGTGTTCCACCTACTCAGTCACTCATGCACACTCAAGCTATTTGCCCCTCTCATTCCCTATGAGCACTTGAATTTCCTAAACCCCACTATGTTACCCCCATCCCAACAATCTCAGAAAATACCGCCACTTACTTCTTTCTTGAGACCTATTCATTTAGCATAGGAAATAGTCCTAGAGTGTGCACACACCACAAGGCTGCCCATATGGTGCCTGGAGCATAGGCAGAGGCCCCAGAAGGTGATGCTTAGATGTTTATTTCAGGTATCTCTAGACTTAAATGTCTCAAATTACCCTTTAAATCCTTGCTCTGCTGCAAAATCACTTAATCATCCTGCATGGACAGAGGCCCCAGTTAAGGAAAACACACACACACACACACACACACACACACACCCAAAGGCCAGGACATCTTCATCTGATGCCCCACCTCCATTCAGCTCCCTCCCTTCAGCTCCTAGATTCAGGAAGGAAAAGAGGCCAGATCCTGGCAGTAGGCCAGGACACCTGGGCCAAGAAAGTCAGTCTGCCCCAGTATCTGGATGCCTGTTCCCTGTTCCCTGCATGTGGGCTGCACATGGAAGCATTATCTTTGCTTTTCTGAAGGTTTAAGGAGAGTAGTTGTATTTCACAACTTATTTTTCACATTGTGCTCTCAGCTGGCCATGGAGTCAGAGATGCTTTCCCCTGTAATGCTTCTTCTGGGCTATAATTTGCAAGCCAGAATTATTGTAATGCTATAGTATTATGCCAAGAACTTCCAGAGTCCCTGGGTAACTGCCCTGTTCCTAAACACTGTATATAATTAACCACAGTCAGTACCCCTGCAATCTGATGTTATTCCTGGTTTACAGATGGGGTGGCTGGCCTAAAGTGGTGTTTACTTGATACAAGCAAAAAGTCTATGGGTGTTTTCCTTGGGAACATGGAGTGGCACACCTTCAGCGGTGAAGTCAGAACTAACAACTCTCAAAAGAAACAAGAAAATATGAAGAAAGATAGTGGAGAAGCCTCATGCCCAGTGCTCCTGGGAGCCAGATGCTTGCCGGAAACTCATCAGAGCACCAAGGAGATGGACACACTCTCTTTTCAGTTCCAGCTACACGGTGATACAGCAGAGAAACTAGGACCAGTGACAGACAGAAACGGAGTCAAGAGGCACAGGTGCAATAGACAAGCATTCTCTTGATACCACAAACCCAGTCCTATGTAATGTTATAAATAAAGTGTGCCCATCTCTCTTGGATTTTCTTTTTTCAGGTCCTGGAGATCCAACACAGGACTTTACACTCACTAGGTGAGGGCTCTACTACCAACGTGTACCTAAGCGTGTACTCTTAACTCCTGCCTTACACTCGCTAGGTGAGGGCTCCACTACCAGGGTTTACTCCTAACTTTGGCACTCATGCTGTTTATGTCCCTCTTCCCTACCCTGCCTCAATTTCCTATGAAGGGGGGTGTTGTGTTTTGAGAGCTATGTTTCTGTTTCTTGTAGGCGGAATTTTCTGCCCCACAAGCTGTTCCCCAAGTAACTGCGCAGAGGTTTAATATTAATTATAAATGTTTGGCCAATAACTCAACTCTTACATTTACATTAAGCCGTATTTCTTATCTATGCTTTGCCATGTGTCATGGTACAGAGCACGCCCTATCCATCTTGCTTCTCTTTGTGTCTGCTCCCAATTCCTCAGACTCTGCCCTTCTTCTTCCCAGCATTCTCAGTTTGGCTTTTCTGCCTAACCTTATCTTGTTCAGCTATTGGTCAGCCAGCTTCTTTATTAAACCTATCATCACACAGTGTAAAGGAATATTCCACAGCATTTCCCCCCTTTTGTCTAAATAAAAAGGATGGTTTTAAAGTTAACATAGTAAAATTGTATATAACAAAACAGTTATCAAATAAGAATTACAGTTACAATGTCTAGTCCATTTGTATTTGACAAAATCCAAGAAAAATGCTCTATTACTTATCTTTGTGAGTCCAAAGTTTTATACCTAATTTACTTTTTATCATAACTAAGGAAAACTTTAGGTCTAATTATTGAATATTTAACTCAATCAAAGACCCCAGAAGGGTATATTACCTAATGACAGGAACGTCTGACTGCCCGAACAGTCACCCAAAGTTCTTTTGTAACCTTGAGACATCTAACTTTGGCCTACAGGCCAAGTATATCTGACAGAGTTTTCTGGGAAGCAGGGAATTTTGAAGGACTGGTCTACCTTGTCTTTACAAAGTTTGGCAATTGCTTTCTTTTACATACTGCTGGTCCAGTTTGGACAGTATACTGTCAACAATGGACATGAGGACATTTTCTTTTCTTAAATGGCTAACTTTTGCCATAAAGAAAGCAAACTCCATACAGAGGTTCTTCGATGTCCATTATCTTCTTTTGAAGTAAATGGGTGCTGTCAGGAGCAGACATGCCTCACTGTCATGAAAAGTCTTAGGTTATTAAACATATTAAATATCATATACTGTAGGTCTTTGAAATGTTTGAATACCATCTATCTAAATATGTGTGACCTTGAAAACATACCTAACATGACTTTAAGTTTGACTATTATAGATCACTATTAATTTGTATTTATTAATTACATTACATTTTTAAATGAGTCGCATAAGTACAATACCCCAAACAAGAGTAGAAACATACATATAGTATAGTAAAAATAACTTTAAATTTGTATCAACAAACCAAAATCCATACCAATGTAAAATATTTTGAGATTAACAATTGTATTTTGGATTAAAGTAGAGTCAATAGTCTACATTTTTATCTTATAATTTCTATATCCCCCCTTTTCTTTTCAGAACAATATCCCTGAGTCTGATCTTCTTTGCCCCAATTTTTTTTCTGACCATTACCAGTAACAACTTGTAGCCAATGCCCCCTAAACAATAGCAAATATCCAAAATCCACCTTTTGGGAAAGTAGACATTGTTTTCTCTAGACTGCTTCCTATTGTTTGTGGGTGCTCATATCTTCAGGGGAACCTTGAGAAAATCAGAATAATTAAGTCTTGACTGGAGTATTCTGTGAGCCTGGATCATCTCAGCCAGTAGCCTTGAAGCTGTTTTGGATGCAGAATTCTGAGGAGACTGTAACAAAGGCATTTTGAAATGCTGGATCACCTGGGTCATCTGTTTTCATTGGTGTC